GTCATCAGCCTGAATGCTGCCCAATCGTCTGCACGGCAGCCAAGGAGGTCTCTGCTCCTAACGCACTGGGAGCCCTTGGTGCGGGGGAGTGGGGCAGGGAAGCAGATGCTGGGGCCGGGCTCTGCTGCTGTGGATTGTAACGGTGGTCTGGGCCTCCACTCCTGCCTCTGTCCCACCAGGATGGCGCCTCGGTGATGTGGCGATGAGTGGGCACTGCGTGGGCACCTTGGCCAAGCTTGGACACCCTAATCCCCAGACTGGCCATTGCGGTGGAGGCAGTGTGAGGGTGACACGGAGCGCGGTGTCATGCTGCAGGGGACACCTCGTGACTTTATAAGTCACGATAGCCAGGGGCCCCTCCAGATGTCACTTAGCCAAAGGATGCAGCACGGCCGGGGCTTTCTCCCCCAGGCCCAAGGACCTGCTCAGCACAGATGCAGCTCTCATGAGGCCTGAAAGCAAGCTGGACTTGCAGAACCATGCACGCTCCCTTTCGGAAAGAAACACCCGTTACCAGGTCCAGACTGAATGCGGGCGTAAGAAAGTGGGAAGGGTCCCCCACAGTGAGAGAGGGACCCTCCCAGTCACTTGGTCTTCTGAGCCTTGACTGTGTCCGGCCCCAGCCACCAGCCTGTCCCCACTATCCTTCTCGTCAGGGCAGCTGAAAGGAGTTGCCTGGGCACCTGAGGTGGCTGAGGCTCATCTTTGAGGAGCGTGGAACTCGAGGGGAGAAGTCGCGCCACCCGGGAAGCCAGGTAAGGAGGCCCCGAGCCCCTGAGCCTGATGCCTGAGCAGGAATAAGCCTCCTGGGGACTCCTCTGTGTGGCGGGACTGCACCGTGGCTCCCACAGGCAGGGTCTCAGCAGGCCCTGCCTCCTCACATGTCAGCATTCCCTCTGCGGGACAGCCCTGGCTGTTCCCTGCTTCTCCCTTTGAGTTTCATCTTTTCAAAGCTTAGGTACACTGCTTTTCACAAAATTACTGTGAAAATCATTTCACAAAAATGATTGTCCCTTTCCCTGGAGCACGTGGTTTATAAGAACACAGGCATTGCCGGGTGTGGTGGCTCGCGCCTGTAATCCCAGCACTTTGGGAGGCCGAGGTCGGCAGACCATCTGAGGTCAGGAGTTCGAGACCAGCCTGGCCAACATGGTAAAACCCCATCTCTACTAAAAATACAAAATTAGCCAGGTGTGATGGCGGGCGCCTATGATCCCAGTTACTCGGGAGACTGAGGCGGGAGAATCGCTTGAACCCGGGAGGCAGAGTTGCAGTGAGCTGAGATGGCGCCACTGCACTCCAGCCTGGGCGACAGAGCAAGACTCTGTCCCCCCACCCCCACCACAGAAAAGAACACAGGCGTGCACACATCACTTCTACAAACACGGCCTCAGGGGAGTTATTAGCAGAGTGCACTGAAGAAAACTAGGCTACTGCAGCGATCTCAAGAAAGCATCACATAGCCTCGCAGAAAAACAGTACAGCTTCCAAAGTTTCCACACACCTATTTTGCAATAACAGCAGAACAACACTTGACCGAGTTCCTAACTTGACAATCATCTGTTTGGCCTGTGGACACACTGAACACTGGACAGAAGCTGTGAGCACGAGATGAACGTGGGGACAGTGCTCTTTGGTTCTTTTGTTTTTTTGAGACGGAGTCTCGCTCTGTCGCCCAGGCTGGAGTGCAGTGGCACGATCTCGGCTCACTGCAACTTCCGCCTCCCGGATTCAAGCGATTCTCCTGCCTCAGCCTCCCAAGTAGCTGAGATCAAAGGCATGCGCCACCACACCCAGCTAATTTGTGTATTTTTAGTACAGACAGGTTTTCGCCATGTTGCCCAGGCTGCTCTCAGACTCCTGGCCTCATGTGATCTGCCCGCCTCGGCCTTCCAAAGTGCTGGGATCATAGGCGTGAGCCACTGGGCCTGGCCGGATAGTGCAATGTGGACGATGAGTTTAAAACTGCAGAAGCAAAGAAACCTCTTCCACAGGTTTCAAGCACCGTAGCTGAAGATAATAAATCCATTATAACAAAAGAGTAGCCAAATGCTGTGGCATTCTTAGAAATGAAGAAAGAACTGAACTGATAAGACAAAAAACAAAAAACAAAAAACACCTCACGTCATATTTTATGAAACTCTGACACAGAATGCCCAATGTGGACACGGGTGCCAGTTCAGTAGTGACCGTCAAGGCCAGGGAAGTGCCCTGTGGTGACCAAGAGAACAAGGAGCTCCCCTGGCAAGTGGGGCTGCAGTGGGAACTGGGAGGGAGCAGTGCACACACCAACGTGGCCGAATCACATGGTGCCCACGCTTGCCTGTGGAATTAGGTGTCAGCTAAAAGGAAAAAGAAATGGAAACTTAAATTCTAGCCGGTCACTGTCTTAAAACTGCAAACATTTCTCTTGAGTGTGGACTGATGCCCCTCCTACCTAGCAGGGTCTCGGCGCTCTGCCGTGTTCTTTGCACCGCAGTCACTATTGCAGAAACACGGTCCTGATACTCATCCTGATAATCTCTTAGGAGTGCCCGAGAAGAAGAATGAAACGCCTGTATATCCTGGTTAAGTTTCTATAAAATAAGAACATACACGATTCGTAAAATTATATTATTAATGATCACAGTATAATTACATAATAATTAGTTATATACGTTTCTATAGAATAATAACATACCCACACAATTAATGTAACGGGGCCGGACGTGTTGTTAACTGGAAGGGTTTAAAGCAGAGGTGGTTCAGCACAGGCGTGTGGACACCTGCTGGGACTGTTTTCATGCCGCCTGCGCCTCGGCTCACTTACAGAAGTTCTGACTCGGTACATCTGGGATTTGTATTTTCAAAGCAGTACATGTGGCTTTTATGCCCTTAAAGTATTTAAGAAACAGAAAGTCAAGTATTTCACCAATTTCCGTAGGAAGGGCTGCTCACTGCACAGTGGGGTGATGCTGGGCGCGAGCCGCGTTTCCGTCTGTTGTTGACTTCCTCACGATGACGGCTCGGGCCCACAGCCTCTCAGCACCGCCTGAGAAACGGGGGCCGCCCTCCTAATCTACTATCCAGACCTGCCTTCTGGAAGCTCAGTTATCACGAGCACGTGGTGGAAAACATGTGGGCCGGTGAAAACAACTTAACGTGTAAATGTACATAATAAAATTCCAGACACAATACATATGAATGCTTTTAGAGAACTTTGGGAGCAAAGCAACTCATGTCCTGTGCGGAAAGTCCTCTTTTCCCCCTGAAATTATCTCAAGGATCTTCCATGGGAAGATTTGACAGAACCAGGACACTTAATATTTAATGCTTAATATTTAATGCTTAATATTTAGTATCAGACACTCTTAAATCACGAGAGCATAACTAAACTTAAATAAGTATTCTTCATTTCTTTTGTCAAGTCTCTCTTTTTCTATAAAATGGAGATGACTTTCATATGTTTGGGAAACATTGTAATAACTTAATAACATTTTAATATCAAAACAAGTGTTTTTATTATATGGAGTACAGAAAAAGTTAGACAACCTATTCAATTAATTTTATTCAGTTCGAAAAGAATGAAAATTAATTTCATATACATTTATTCTAAATACACTAATGCAGCTTACCAGGGGGTGGGGTATCTCTAATTCTGAGTAACAAAGAGAACAGATTAATCCTGTTTACAGATGTTTTACTGTTGTAGTCATTATGCTGGTCACATTGTTTAAAACAAAAGGTAAAACAATGTTCTCAACCAAAGGTATAAAAATATCCTCCTACAATTTCACCCTGGAGAACTGCCAAATATACTATACAGAATAAGTATTTTTTTAACTTTCATTTCTAAAAATTATTAGTAGTTTAACAGGAGCTGTTCACACTGGTGACATGCTGTACCAGATCTATTTAATCTAACATGTATAAACATGTTTTCTACCATTTAACGTTAAAATTAAATTGAGAACTTTGATTAACTAAAGTAAGATTTCAGTTTAATGATTTAATTTGATTCATTAAAATGAGAATTTTGACTCATAAAATTGAACTACTACCACAGCTATTTGAAATAATTCATTTCATGGCCAAAATGTATTTTCCCTTCTGATATTTGCTCAGAATCCCAATCCTATGTTTTGCTTTGTTTTTAGGTTCTCTTCTGTTTAGTATGTAGTAGAAAGCAGAGCTCCCTGAGTGAACACCATCTGCAGTTGATTATGAAAATAGTAACGATTTTGGCCGGGCGCAGTGGCTCACGCCTGTCATCCCAGCACTTTGGGAGGCAGAGGCAGGTGGATCACAAGGTCAGGAGATGGAGACCATCCTGGC